TGAGGACTTCCTCAAACCCTGTTTCTGTCTGTCTCACCACTGCATATGCTGCTTTCAGTCCCTCAGTTGGATGCCTGAAACAGCATCCGTCTGTGAACAGTGTATCCTCTGCGTTAGTCAGGGGCTTCGCCTGCAAATCTTCTCTCACCCTGGTGTCTTTCTGCACCTTTTCCTCACATCTGTGTGGATCGCCCTCTCCCATGTTATCTGCCATGTTTACACCTTCATGTGTGAATGTTATGTGTGGTGCATTTAAGATCTTTTCCAGCCTCGTCTGTCTGAGTGATGTCATAGTAAATGAAGCTGAGTTTACATATGCCACTATGCTGTGCGTTGTTAGTACAGTCAGTGCGTGTCCCATCACTATGTGTGCTATTTTCTGCAAAATTTTTGCCACTCCTGCTGCATGTTGTGTGCATGGTGGGTGTCTATCCTCGGTTGGGTCTAAGGATATGCTTGCATACATCAGCACCTGTCTACCTCCCCCTTTTTTCTGACAAAGCACACCAGAGGTGGTGTGTTCCTTTTCAGAAACGTCAAGAAAAAACGGTAGCTTGTAGTCGGGGATGGCTAGATCAGTAGCAGTAGAGAGTGCCTGTTTGAGGGAGATAAATGAGGTTTCAGCATCAGTGGTCCACACCAGGGGAGCAGTAAGATTGCGCATGCCTTGTGCGTTAACCATGGCACGCAAAGGATGGGTTAATTCGCCATAAGAGGCCACATAGTGCTTGCTGTACCCTGTGAGGCCCAAAAATGACAACGTCTTTCACGGTGTGTGGTTTTGGGTGATGCAGAATCGATTCTCTGTGTGACGGGGACACAGCCGTGCCCTTAGCCGACACTATACGACCCAGGAACGAGACCTGCTGCCTACAGCATTGTAGCTTGGTTTTAAAGACTTTGAACCCTGAGTGGTGTAGGCGTAGTAAGACAGAGCGTGTGGCCTCTAGGCAGGTGGAGGGATCGGGTGCGGCCAAGAGGATGTCATCAGCGTACTGGATTACCACAACCCCTTCTGGTAGTGACAATTCGGCCAGCTGCTGTTTGAGAACCTGATTGAAAAAACCAGGAGACAGAATGAAACCCTGTGGAAAGCGAGTGTAAAGAAGCTGACTACCAAGATGAGTGAATGAGAAAATGTCGCGAAGGGGCGGCGCGAGAGGTAGGCAGAAAAAGGCGTTAGCAAGGTCTATACAGGAAAACCACTTATGTTCTGGCAACAGGCTAGACATGGCGGTGTATGGATTTGGCACTGGTACTGTGGGCGTGGAGATTACTGCATTAATGCGCCATGCGATATTTGCCTGTATTCTGTTTCTCTACAGGAAGAATGGGTGTGTTCCAGCTGGAGTTTGAGGCTTCCAACACTCCAGCCTGTAACAGACCCTCTATAGTATCTGCAATACCAGCCTCAGCCGCTGGCTTGTGACGATATTGATTCTGCCAAATCGGTGTCCAATCATTTAAATCGAATGTAATGGGGGTGAC